TGTGGGGTGGCTCTTCTTTAGGAAAAACTTTGCTGCATCTCTTGAAAGAAAATCAAGAATCTAATGTTGTAGATAGTGGCGTCCCATATTAAGCTTGCAGCAACGTTTTGTAAGTGTAATTAGTGATAGTTTGTTTATACCACAACCAAAAAAAAAAAAAAGAAAAAATCATTGACAGTATGCAGTCATCTCTATCTATTCCTCATTCTCCTCCATTCTTTTTCTTCCCTTCACCTTTTTCCTTATATTGTGGTGGTGGAGGATTTGAATCCACCTCTCTAACATGCAGGACATGCATCTTTAGCTACAAGCTCAGGTGGCTCCCTTCAAACATCTTGGAGCATGAGGAAAGAACAATGTAAAATAGAAATATTAAAATCTTGGAAATCCGGCTTCCTTTATCATCTCAAGATTCTTTTCAAACAACTATTTTTTTTCCCTTCTATATATGACATGGGTTACACAAGGATTTTTCTTTACTCATTTTAAGGTTTAAACTTGAAATGTAATCTCCTCTAGGTTTCCTACAATCTTAATTGATCAGACAACCATCAGCAATGCCACAAGAACAAAGAGAAGGATGGAATCTGTGGAATGTTCCTCATCAAATTAAACCAAAACCATCCACAGGCGTTCCCATCCAACTAACATTTCCATGGACTCACCAAGCTAAAATCAATGGACGCCATGCAGTAGCATCACCTTTAATGGATTTACCAAAAAAAGAAAAAAAGCATCACCTTTGATGGACAAGCGTTCAATACGGCTGTATGCTCCCTCTTAACAATCCCACTGCCAAAATAGATGTATCACTCATGGTGTTTATAGTCCTTTGTGATCAACATCCATCATTCTTCTCAGTCCTCCATTTCATGATGATTTGATTTAAAATCATACTCCAAAACTACCAAACATGATACAATGTATTTTTGAAAAAGTGTTTTTCGATTGACCTGTAACCAAAAAGGAACATAGACTTTAAGTTCTAATTAATTTTCAGAACCATTGCTCCTTTGTAAAAAAAAAATAATAATAATTTTTAAAAATAATTTAAGAATAATTTTTTATATTACTTTTATAATTTTATATGTAATTTAAATAATTAATTTTTATTTAAAATTTATGATATTAATTATATCAATTCATTTAATAATATATAAAAATTATACAAAATATTATAAAATAATTATTTATATATCGCTGTCCTTAATTTTAAATTGATAAGGACTTAGTGCTGACGTGGCAGCTTAATTGATGCCAAGTGGCACCAACAAAGGTGCTAAGGTGTACTTCCGTTCGTCCTACTGACGGAGCTTTACTGGTTAGACTAATTTAGTATATTTTTGAAAGTTAATCGGTTAAACCCCAATTTGATCCCTAAACGATTTTATGGATCTCTGATTTGCTCCTTAAATTAAAAAAATTTTTGATTTAGTCCTTGAAACTATTGTACGGACCTTAAATTTAGTCTTTATTGTTTACCAATTTGCTCCAAGTTAGTTCTTCTTTATAAAAAAACACTTGACATGTTCGTTACTTAATGGCAAAAAATAATTGATGTGTTTGTTACTTAACGATAAAAAGCAATAATTTAATTGTCATGTGTCATGTTAATAATAAGATACATCAGTTGGTTTTTATACAGAAAGACCAATTTGGGGTAAATTGGGAAATAATATAACCAAATTGACATGTTTGTTACTTAATGACAAAAAATAATTGATGTGTCCGTTACTTAACGGTGAAATACAATAATTTAATTGTCACTTGTCATGTTAATAATAAGATACGTCAGTTGGTTTTTGTACAAAAAGACCAATTTGGGGTAAATTGGGAAATAATATAACCAAATTGAAGATCTGTACAATAATTTAGGGACCAAATTAAAATTTTTTTTAATTCAAAGACCAAATAAAGGATCTATGTAATAATTTAAGAATCAAATTAAACATTTAACCAAGTTGATAAAGTAGTTAGGTATAAAAAATAGTTACTAAGCAAAATAGATAAAAACTTTATAATTAATAGCGTATCTCTTAAAGGATTTTTTTTATTTTTTATTTTTAGAATATAAGTTAAGAATATAACAATAATATTTTTTATAATTAATTTATATAAAATTTAATAAAATTTAATTATTATTATTTTTTATATAAATTAATTATTAAAAAATACATTTATTATATTTTTAACCTATATACTTAAAACAAAAATTAAACAAACTTTTTATTAAATTAATCCATTCTACCAGTAAATATTAAAAAATAAAATAAAATGTAAATTTTATAAGCAATCAATTCGGCTGAGGTCAGCCAGCCAATGCGTAGGGGAATAATAGAATAATAATAGGGTCGAATGGCAATCCACAACCAGCGGCGCGTATCTTTCTTCCCCCAACGGCCTTCGATTATCCCAAAGGACAGTCACGCACCTACATATACAGATATCAGATCTTTCTTCCTCTAACGGCCTTCGATTATCCCAAAGGACAGTCAACCACCTACATATACACATATCAGATAATTTTTTCTCATTCTCCATAATCAGCAGCTCGCATGGATTCTCAAGCAACCCATTCAAGCCCCACCATACTTCACAAACTCAAAAACAACTTGGCTTTCCGATCAAAATGGGCAGAAGTCAACGGCGCCATGGGAGACTTGGGCACTTACATTCCTATAGTCTTGGCCTTGACCCTTGCCAAGGACCTTGATCTTGGCACAACCTTGATTTTCACCGGTATCTACAATATTGTTACTGGTGCCTTGTACGGTGTCCCAATGCCCGTTCAACCCATGAAATCGATTTCGGCCGTTGCAATATCAAGTGGGTCGGATTTTGGTATCCCTGAAATCATGGCTGCCGGGATTTGCACCGGAGGGATTCTTTTGATTCTGGGTGGAACAGGCTTGATGCAGCTGGTATACAGGCTTATTCCACTGTCTATTGTCAGGGGAATTCAGCTGTCTCAAGGCTTATCTTTTGCCATGAGTGCTGTTACGTACATAAGAAAAGTGCAGGATTTCTCCAAGTCAAAGTCCAGTGGGGATAGACATTGGTTAGGATTGGATGGATTGATTTTGGCCATTTTCTGTGCTTGTTTTATAATCCTTGTTAATGGTGCAGGGGAAGAAACAGCGGAGGAGGAGGATGCTGGGGGAGAAGAAAGACTCAGGAAAAAGAGGAGATTCAGGAAAATCATTTTCACTCTTCCTTCAGCTTTCTTCATATTCTTATTGGGTGTGATTTTGGCATTCATAAGGAGGCCAAATCTTGTGAAAGATATTAAATTTGGACCATCTTCTATACATATTGTAAAAATTAGCAAGCATGCTTGGAAAGAAGGATTCATCAAGGGTACAATCCCCCAACTTCCTTTATCAATTCTCAACTCTGTAATTGCAGTTTGCAATTTGTCATCTGATCTTTTTCCGGGCAAGGACTTCTCTGCGACATCAGTTTCAGTTACAGTTGGATTGATGAACTTGGTGGGGTGCTGGTTTGGTGCCATGCCATGTTGCCACGGTGCAGGTGGGTTAGCTGGGCAGTACAAGTTTGGGGGAAGGAGTGGTGGCTGTGTGGCCATTCTTGGTGCAGCCAAGGTGGTGGTGGGTTTGGTGCTGGGGAGTTCTTTGGTGGTGATTTTGGATCAGTTTCCAGTTGGGGTTTTGGGGGTTTTGCTCTTGTTTGCTGGTATTGAGCTAGCAATGGCGGCAAGGGATATGAACTCGAAGCAGGAAGCCTTCGTGATGCTTGTATGCGCAGCTGTCTCTCTTGTGGGCTCAAGTGCAGCACTTGGATTTGTTTGTGGGATAGTTGTGCATGT